TCTGACCCACTCAGCCTCGGCCCGGCTCAGCTAAGTTTCATTTGCAATTTTCATCTGCAGCTGTTACACGAGTGCCCAGCAAACACAGCACAGGCACATAAAGAGTGTGAGGGAGGGGGGGGGGGGGGGGGGGATATCTCCGGGAGGGGATATAGCAAAATGGAATTGAAAAAGCAGGATACATTTGTAATTGAAATGAAAGGAAGCTCTAATATTCTCTTCCTCAAAGTTGGTTGCTCATAAAACACACAAACGATAAGAAACGATCAGAGTCATTTGTGGAGAGAGATTAGAATTGCAGCAAGTTCGTGGGCTTTCGAATATTTAAAGAAAATATTGGTATTATATACAGCCCACAATGGGAAACACAGAAACAAATACTCACAACAATAATCGAAATATCTGTCGAGAAAGAATTAATTATTTACCCTAAAAGAATAGAAAAACATACGAAAATTCAATGATTCAGTGTTCAAATGAATAGCAGTAATTGCCATACATTCATTTAACGAAGGAGTAACCCCAAGAGAACCACAATCCCCGTCAGCTGCTGCCTCTGTCTCTGCTCCTGAAGTGGCAATTACATTTGTAAGTCGGTCCGGCGCTTCTCTGTCCATCCGTCTGTTCCCACCTGCCCAATGCAATTAAAATTAATAAATAAATATGATTTACAAACTAATAGAAGGCCAGAGACAGAGACAGGCCACAGGAGAGCCAGAAACTCAGCAGACGGGACGGGAATGGGGATGAGGAAGATGGCTATTAAATTTGTCGGAACGAAACCCCAAGAACTTGAAATGAAATTAATACAACGCGATATTAAATTATTTTTAATTGGGCGATGTACCAAAGGAAAGCGGTTTGCTCTCTGTGGGGAAATTGAATCAAAATTTTGAGAATTACTCGGCACTCAGTGCCCACTCATTCTCGAAATTCCCTTGTGGCCGACTTCCAAGGAGGCGTCAAGGAGCAACCACCCAAGGTCAGAGGTCGTAATTACTCGATATTTGTACGCATGTGGGGCCATCGTTATGGTACATTAGGTACCGGGGTCCAAAGCCTTGACAGTTGCCAACTGTGCCACAACTCCATTTGCAGTTGTCCGAGCCGTTGAGCGATGGGGTTTTGGTAATTATGACAACCGCAAACATTACAAAACATTTCCCTTTCTTGAAGCTGCAATGAAAGCCATTCCTAATGGTTAATTAATTGATGTGTTGACAGTTCAAAAACCACAAGAATTGCCAGGAAAATGGTTTAAGCTCAATTAATTTGTACACAAGCGGAAACACTAAACACTCTCTTGCCCAGTCCAAGGCGGATTGGCATAACTAAAAATATAAGTAAAATTACCTGCCCCACAAGAGTCCACTTGAATCCTTTAAGGGAACATTTCCCAGCTATCTAAACCCATAGAAACCCTCTCGCCTATCGAGGACCCATTTCCGAGATGTGAAGTACTTAAGATGACGATCAAATCGACTCCAACAAACATCAGACATCAGAATAGGCCTTTGGGCTATGCCCTCTTATGATTCTTGTACCTATCTTTATGCTCATCACGTGGCCCGCATTAATTTGCACACACGATTTCCATGGGCCTGTTTGTGGGTAATGCATATTGCCGCTAGATGTGCTTTATATGAGCTGCAAATTGGTTGCTCACGTAAATGATTTTCATTTTCCAATCATAACATTACGCGTGCCTGCACTGCCAAATGCTCACCTGTCTCTCTCTCTCTCTCTCTCTCTGGGCCATGACTGAATTTGGTCTGATTCAGGCTATTGAGTGGAAAATATTTGTGGGATTTCCCCAAGTTGATTTCCCGTATTTTTTTTTTTTTGGCTGCTCCTGATTACAATGAAGCAAATTGAATTAACATTTTGGCCGGCGGGTAGAATAATGCATCATGCAGGTTATGCCCCTGAAGCTGGCGCTTAAATTGTCTACAAATAATTTGTGGAGTGGTGAGGGTTGCGGGTGGCATTTTAATTATTTATGGTCCCATGCGCGACTTATTTGCCTTTGTTAATGACGAGGCGAAAGCAAAAGGCACAAAGTGACGACAATTGGTGGAAACAGGAGCTGCATGAGCAGCCGGAACATGAGCGGAATCTGAGGAAAAAAGCAGGAGGATCAGGAGCAAAAAAGTTAATTAAAAGTGCAATCAAGCAGCGCATGGACCGCAGCAGAGAGCGGAGGTAAGTGCCCTGAACGATGCAGACATTTTGCCTGCAACAGAGACGACAAAAAAGTATGAGAAAAAGGAAAGCAATTCCCAGAAGGCAAAGGATAGGGATAGGAAAGGTGAAGTGGTGGCCATATGTCGTATGTTGTACATAAGTCCTAGCGCAAATACGTCCACTCGAACGGAGTTGGGTGAGGTTTGCTGCCCACCTCTTCCCCTCTCACAAATTGCTGCAATTATACACGCAATAAATTATAACAACTTAAAGGGAAAGAGAAAAAGTGAAATACCGAAGAGAGTTGGTTGAAAATAAAAGGTAAGGACTGAAAGATATGGTTAAATAGCACTGGGAAGGACTAAAGGAAATGATGAGTCTTGGGGAAAATGCATTTAATTGATTATCCTGTCTGTCCTTGAAGTTAACTGATGGGCAATATAATTTGTAAGCTTCTCTTTCTCTGTCGAGCATTTATTGTTTGTCTTTGCAGGTACTTAAGGCCCCTTGATTATGATTTATGTGGTAAAATACAAATCAATTTGTTTTAGAAACCAAAATAATTGTTTGGGAACGATTTGGGCTTAGTATGTAGTACGTACTTTATTTCGATTTTTTAAATTGAATGCACTTTTTTATATTTCCAGCTGCGTATAGAATGGTGTTTGGTCTTTTTTGTAATGTCTTAATTTAAAAAAAAGTTAGCATTTTGTGTGTGTTTTAAATGGTATTGATGCACTGTATTAATGTCTAAACGATTCGGAAAGATCAAACTCAGGCCATGGGTGATAATTACTAATAGATCAATTTAAATTATCCATTTCATCAAATGAACTTTTAGTTTCCCTAGTGTTGTATGGACTTGGGCATCAGAGACATACCATAAAATGTCTAAAGCACTCATCCTACAAGTTTAATTATTTTTCTCAACTCTCCTATGTTTTTGCTTTATGAACATTTCGTTTAACAGGCTTTTGTCTGTAAAATGAGAGGGTATTCCACGGTTCCCACAAACCTTATTACTACAAATCTGATTTTAAATGATAGTATGAGCTCATTATTGTTCCATTATTTGAAATATTTGCTATTTGTTGTATCCCAAACATCATCGGCTTTCAGTTTTCACAGGCTTATCGGCACTTCAAGATGTATCCTTGGAGCAACACTCTTCTATGGCTCATTGTGAACCTATGTTTGGTAACAGAAGTACTCTTAATATCATATAGCATATACAAGTCCTTCATTATTGTGAAACATTTTCAGCTAACGTGCGTGTTTGTGCTCGCAAAAACCGATTGTTTTTCGCTGGATAGGACTTTCTGTGAATTTACATGCTCAATTAAGGCAGTAAACCGGACACACAAAAATGTATTTGGAAAAATTGAAATATACAAAGCTCCAGTTACCAAAATCAAGGCATGTACACACCATTCAATACTTACTACATAGACTATAAAGATTCCGATCAGGTTAATATGGCACTTTTCAGGCGAAACCATGATTCGAAGGCAATCCTGTATAATTTTACCTTCGATGGCTGCAAAATCCTGGACAAATCCACCAAAAATCCCGTGTCTTTTTTCTTCATAGAAATGTTATCGAGCTACTCCAACTTGAACCATTCATGTCCCTACAATGTGAGAGGAAATTTTGACGTTTCAACTGGTACTGGTTTTAATGGCAAACTCTTTTTAGCATGATTTAATGATGGTGCTTCCATATGACTTTCTCGAACCTCGTTTATCGAAGCTTCTGCCGTTTCCTAATGGCGACTACCTTGTCGAAATGCACTGGCTTCGATTTGGAAATCGGAGCGCCACGGCCAAATTATACTTCTCTTTACAATAATTTTATGTTTCTTCCCAGTTGATTAGAACAATTAAGGAATGGCTGAACAACTAGATCTAAAATCTGTAAATTCATGTAACTTCATATTGACAAATGATATTAAATATAATAAAAATAATAATAATTATACAGTAGAGGCCATACACCGCCGTTAACTAAACGGATTTGGTAATTTCGTATTCCATTTTTTTAATGCGTGTTCCCAGTAAACAAATAATCTTGACTGGTTCATCAACAGTAAAGGATAGATGATGCCAGAAATTTTTTTATTAATTTCATTGTGAATATACATTTAGTTTAGGTACATATTGCTGGAGACTTTAAGTAATGGAAAAATGGAAACTGTCCTCCAACAGATCCATTCCCGGGTTCAGATAGCAGACATAAACTGCTATCAGAAGTCGGTAAATCGGACAAAACAAAATAAATTCTACTAACAACAAATTCCAGACACTGCTTTGTTACTAGCTTTGCCATTTCAATCCATAATAATACTACATATCAATAATTCCAGAGGCCAATGGGCTTCGTTCGGTCATTAATACTGGAAAAAAAATTTCTGGACTGTGCTCTACCACGACATTATCTTTTTTATTCATTAATTATAAGTCATTAATATCATTTATGTGAGCTTATGATTTTAAAAAAATGGCACAGAACCTTGTATTTTTTGGGAGAGAAATATTAAAATAGACTTGGAACAGAGTGGTATCAGTCTGCATCCAGAATTAAAGCTGCTATCGCAAACAAAAAGAAATGTCATACAGACATGGCTATAACGATTAGGCTATAGATTCTGATTAAGAACACACGAGAATCTACTTTCTGGTGTCGTAACATTCTCTTTCTAGTAATCCACCACAAATCAAATATGTCCCAAAACTCTTAGACTACCAGGTATAACTAATCGCTGCCAAACTGAGTTTGCATGGTTATTGAATTCATATTGGATAATGAGACCATAAACGATGTGGGATGCCTATGTTTGTATAATTAGCCATATCCACACAGTAATTAAATCCATTTTGAAGTACTCAAATTATGTCAGTTTTTAGATTTTAGAATTAGCGCAGGTAAATATTTCATTGTATAGCTCTTCAATGGTTACAAGCCCTTTCTCTACAATGTCACCTTTGATGCCTGCAAGTTCCTTGCCAATGTCAATTCCAATCCTGTGATCAACTTCTTTCATGAATCGTTTACGTCCTTCTACAATGTGAACCACACATGTCCCTACAATGTAAGTGGATACTGAACTCTCATGAACAAAAACTTACTTTGATCCCTGCAGCATGATATTATTATGGAAAAGCTTCCCATTGACTTTGTCAATCACCGGATGTCGAAAGTTCTTCCATTTCCTGAAGGTGATTATCTCGTTGAATTACGTTGGATTCGTGCCGAACCCTTTTATGCTATTTTCAAATTATATGGAACTCTTTCTTGAATATTAGACGTAATAAAAAAACAATTTTTATTCGTATTTTTTATTTTCAGTTGAAGTTTTCATACTTAATTCTAAACGATTTGACATCCCATGAATAATGAAATAAATTCAGCAACTTAATCTGTTTTAAATTGTTGTACGTTCAGTGATGTATTTAAAGTTGTACACAAATTTCCGTGGAGCATATTCGCAGAGTTCCTGGAAGCGTCGACACCACAGGATGGCCCATGTTCTCTGATTTTGATCGTTTTGATCCTGCACTTGGTGATGAAGGTACGGACACTTATTTTTAAATATCATTTAGGAATCATTCCCGGTTTGAGTTCACAAACTGCAACTGCACTTCGCTTGATAAGAAATTCGGGGAGTGTGAGGACTTCTATCTGAAGTCGGTGAATCGGACCTATAAATATTTGTCCGGAAAATTCAAGCTTTATCAAAAGCCGGTTAAAGCTTTCGAAGTATGTAAATCTTTACAATATTTTCATGTAATATTTTTTGGATTATTAATTCAGTTGAATCTCATTCTAATGAAGAGACTCAGCGGATATAAGCCTTTCCTGTACAAAATAACCGTCAATGCTTGCAAATTTTTAGTCAATCCTAAGACCAGCCCAGTAACGAAATTATTCTATGAATCGGTTGTGACCTTCTCTAATGTCAACCACTCCTGTCCATACAATGTAAGTGAAGAGTATATCCTTGTGTAATATTTTAAAGTAACCACTCAATTCTTTGCAGCATGACATAATTATTGATAAGCTCTCAATCTACTATGTCAATCATCGATTTCCAAAGATTCTGCCCTTTCCTGAGGGCAATTAACTCATTAAAGCAAATTGGTCAACCTTGGGATTTGTTTTCGCTGTGGCAAAAGTATATGGCACCCTGTCTGTTTATTCAAGGGAATAAACCACGAAAAAATTTCCGAAATTATTGATAAAAACTGTAGTTAATTTTCCTTGATGCCAAATGTGTTTCTAACTAGTTTTATACATCATCTACAATTCATGAGAAACGCATTTGGTTAAATGACAAAAATAATTACTGTACATTAACAGATTACATTAATTAAACATTGAATACAAATTTTAATAGAGCATGCAGTCCATCCACTTTATTAATCGTTGTATTCGTTAAGAACCTTTGCAATCACCAAAATATATGGAACCCTTTCGTAAATTATGAATAGAATAAAATAAAAATTGTTTGTCCGAAATTAGTTTTATTTATTTTTGAATGTAATTCTATACATTTAGAAACGCCATCAGCAATAATAAATAAACTCAAAATTTTAATCTATTTGAAATTGTTGTTTGTGTGGGAATGCGTTAAATACCTGACATTGATTCCCATGGAACATATACACAGTGTTCTTTGAAGCGTCGACACTACAGAATGGCCAATTGGATGAGTTCTGTGATTCTGATCGTTGTGATCCTGCACTTGGTGATGAAGGTACCGACACTTATTTTTAAATATCATTTACGAACTATAGCCACTTCTAGATCCAATGCCGGTTTGAGTTTACAAACTGCAACTGCACTTCGCTTGATCAGAAATTCGGGGAGTGTGAGTACTTCTATCTGAAGTCGGTGAATCGGACCTATAAATATTTGTCCGGAAAATTCAAGCTTTATCAAAAGCCGGTTAAAGCTTTCGAAGTATGTAAATCGTTTTAAAATATTTTTATGTAATATTTTTTTGATTATTAATGCAGTTAAATCTCATTCTGATGAAGAGACTCAGCGGATATAAGCCTTTCCTGTACAATATAACAGTCAATGCTTGCAAATTTTTAGTCAATCCTAAGACCAGCCCAGTAACAAAATTCTTCTATGAATCGGTTGTGACCTTCTCTAATGTCAACCACTCCTGTCCATACAATGTAAGTGAAGAGTATATTCTTGTGTAATATTTTAAAGTAACCACTCAATTCTTTGCAGCATGACATTATTATTGATAAACTCTCAATCGACTATGTCAATAACCGATTTACTAAGGTTCTTCCCTTTCCCGAGGGCAATTATCTCATTGAAGCCCGTTTCTCAACCTTGGGATCTCCTTTCGCTGTGGTAAAAGTGTTTGGCACCCTGTCTTAAATTCAATCAAGGGAATAACAAAGAAAGATTTTCAGAAATAAGATGAGTCACATAAGATGAGTTTTTTGTTTCGAATCGTTGTGATCTTGCATTAAAGTATCATATACAAAACATAAAAGCTTCAATTCCCGTATGAAATTTACAAACGTCAACTGCAGTACAATAAATAAGAACTTTGGGGGGTTTGACCACTGCTACTTGAAGTCCGTGAATCGTACTTATAAATATTTCTCCGGAAGATATACCATTTATCAGCTTCAAATTAAAACTTTAAAGGTTTGTTAAAATATTTAAAGAAAAAGAAAATGTATCATAATTTTTTGATGCCTGCAAGTTCCTGGCCAATGTAAATTCCAATTCAGTGGTCAAGTTATTTTACTTAGCGTAGTTTCCCATCGACTTTATTAATCATCGAATCAAGCAAATTCTTCCTTTTCCTGAAGGAGACTCGTTGAAATACGTTGGATTCGTTTAGGAATTTTAAATGTATTATTATTATTATTGTTTACTTTTTAATGTAATTGTATACATTTGGAAACGACATGAGCAATAATAAATAAATTCAAATTTTTAATCTATTTGAAATTTTTGTTTGAGCTGGGATGCATTAAATGCCTGACATTGATTCCGGTGGAACATATACACAGTGCTCTTTGCTGCGTCGATAATACAGGATTGCCCATAGGATGAATTATCGGATTTTGATCTTTGTGATCCTGCAATTGGTTATGAAAGTAAGGACTCTCAATTTGAAATCTCATATACGAATGATACCTACTTCTGGATCCAGTGCCGGTTTGTGTTCACTAACGTCAACTGCACATCGCTGGATAAGAAATTCGGGGAGTGTGAAAATTTATATCTGAAGTCGGTGAATCGGACCTATAAATATTTGTCCGATAAATTTAAACTTTATCAACTGCCTGTAAAAGCTCTGGACCTTAGTATAATGCGAAATTTTTCGCTTTAATTCTCAATGGGATAATAATTTTTGTTACTGAAGAGATTCAACGGATACAAGCCTTCCCTATATAGCATAACCGTCAATGCTGTAAATTGATTGTCAACCAAAAGTCCACTCCTTGGGCGTAATACCCTATGAATCGTTTCTGACCTTCTCTGATATGAACCACTCCTGTCCATACAATGTAAGTGATGAGTATATCCTTCAAAATTGTAATACTTACTACACTTAACCAATTAACTTTTTGCAGCATGACATTATTACCGGTAAGCTCCCCGCTGACTTATCAATCACCGACTAAAACAAATTTTACCCTTCCCCATGGCTATTATCTCGTTGAGGCCTATTGGTCTCGCTCGGGATCTCTGTTCGCCATGGTCAGAGTATATGATGTAAGTCTTTCCTAAATGCAAACCAGGTAATATATGATTTATGATTGTCATAAATAATAGATGCAAACTTTAACTACTCTGCTCTACTTATTTCCATTTTACTGCCAAATGTGTTTCTAAATGATTTCTATTTTAATCTATATTAAAGTGTTTAAATAAAATTAGATTTTAATATACAGAGCACAGGTACTAAAAGTCAAATACAAATTTCAATGGACCTGCAGTTTTCTTTGGAGCATCGACACTTCAGGATGGCCCACAAGATGAGTCCTCTGGTGCGGATCGTTGTGATCTTACACCTAATTATGGAAGTATGATGTAACTACATTAATATTAAAGTATCATATAAAAACTATGAAATCTCATAGATCCATTCTCGGTTTGAGTTCACTAACGTCAACTGCACACTGGTGAATAAGAAATTTGGGGAGTTTGACTACTGCTACCTAAAGTCCGTGAATCGCACCTACAAATACATGTCCATAAAACTTAAAGTTTATGAACTTCCTATTAGAGCCATGCAAGTATGTAGAAGTGTCCAGCTAACCGCATAAAAGGTTATTTTTAAGAACATTCATATATTTTGTACAGATAAACATGGAGCTGTCGAAGCGATTTAATGGATACAAGCCCTTTCTGTATAATATTACGTTCGATGCCTGCAAATTTTTTGTGAATCCCAATTCCAGTCCTGTGGCCAAGTTCTTCTATGAATCATTTATGACGTACTCCAGTGTAAACCACTCATGCCCCTACAATGTAAGTTGAATGGGGTTTCTGCAGTGCCGAATCATTGGGAAATAGCTCCTTTATTTTCCTGCAGCATAATTTCATATGCGAAAAGCTTCCTGCAGGCTTTGTCAATGAGCGATTCACACGGATTCTGCCATTTCCTGATGGACAATATCTCTTGGAAACACGTTGGCTTCGTATGGTATCCTTTCTTGAATTGAATGTCTAAATAATTGAGTAAAACAAAAATTCATTAAAAGAGTCTACTAACTATTTTTGACCTCATTTGGCTGAAAATATATATCATAAAACATATGACTTTCTGAATTTTAAGCTATTTTAAATTGGCATCAACTAATTAATGATGGGACATTAGTGCGGTTTTAAATAAATGCTACAAATTGTATGTCAGTCATTCTAGGTTCATTGACGCTTCGAGATGGAAGCTAAGCTGACTCTTCTGGTTCAGGTCATGGTGATCCTCTCTTTACAATGGGAAGTATGAATCATGTATGAGACATACACATGGAAAGCATCATTTATGGTATAACCCTTTCAGATCACTACCAAATTTGAGTTCACCAACGTCAACGGCACTTAATTGGACGAAAATTTCACCGAATTCGAATACTGCTATTTGAAGTCGATTAATCGGACCTACAAATATTTTTCGCTAGAGCGACACTATTCCAAGTTCCCGTCACCACATCAAGGCATGTGATATGGCCGAAGGTTCAAGTTTTTGGTAAATTATATTCATTTACAGGTAAATCTGGTCTCAATGGATACAAGCCTTTTCTCTTCAATTACACTGTCGATTTCTGAAGAATCCCAAGTCTAAACCGGTCACTAATTACTTTTAATGACAAATGCGAATAATTCCTGTCCTTACAATGTAATTATTTTCTCATGTATATTGAATGGACGGTATTTAAAAAATATTTTGAATTCTGCTTAGCATGATCTTGTATTGGATAAGCTTACTGCCAGCTTTATCAATCATCACTTTACACATATTCTGGCCTTTCCCGAGGGAGATTATCTATTGAAGAACAACTGGTTCGCTTATGGTATCAAACGAGCCGTGGTTAAAGTGTATGGCACTCTTCGGGAATTAATTCATGCATGCACAGTTACGAGTGTCTTTCATATACAAAATATATTTTTAAATTTGTTTTGAATATATGATCAAGGACTTTCTTGTTATTTTAACCAAATACCAAAGTTCTCCGGCCAAAGTCTGGTGGAACTCATACACATACACTTCTGAGTTCAATGAGGCGATAATCCTTAAGGAATTTGTAATTTAGCCGGACTTCATCGAAGGCTCAGGTATCCTCCTTCTCCTCTTCAATTAACAAGTTTTTTATAGCTACGCTTTAACCCGACACAAAGTTAAACACAAAACTGGACCCAAACAAGCAGCAAATTCGACGTTGGAAATAGGGTATGGGAAAATTGTATAAATGAAAACTAAATATTTATTTTGGGCCCGTCAATGAAAGTCTGAAGAAAACAAAGGAAATTGGGGAAAAAAGGTTACTATGAGCGTTATCTATGAGCGTTGAGTGCCTAAATAAGTAAGTCAATAAATCAATTCAATAAAAATGTGTGCTGCCTTTTTCGGGCGTTTTTCTATATATATTTGAAGTTTTGGCTTTTGTTTTTTGTGAGCTCCTTCTGTTTTTGGCAAATCCCAAGCAAACAAATGTGAGGAAAGCAATCCAACAAAAAAGTTTGCCTCGGAAAATGTTTGGCAACGAGAGGGAAACAAGTCAAGAGTATGGGTGGGATTCAGAGGTTAAAAAAAGGTCCAGAGGGTTGATGGCCAGGGCCCAAATAAGATACATAAACAATGATAACTGCAAAGTTTATCAATTTGTAAAATGGCAGCCGCAGACATGAACAATAAGGGATACAGAAGCGGGTATGCTGGCTACTAAAGTTGACATTTACACCTAGAAGATACCCTCTGGTCGAGGAGTAAGAATCTCAGACATCATTCATCAATGAGTTGAAAATATATGGCGGTTCATCTAAAGAACTAGTTTTCTACATGCTGTGATTATCCGATGAAACTTATTTGTTTTCAGATCTCCTCTGCGAAAACAGGGTATAAAGAGAAAGAGGGTGCTCAGCTTTGCAAAATTCAAAGCTGTTTAGCAGTGGGTGGGTGGCTGTACCTGCTGAGCTTTTAAAGCCTAAGCTTTCAGTATATCAGGGGTATAAGATAATGTAGGAATATTTGTTGGCATCATAAAAAAGAAATATATTAAACTTACTTAATGAAAGGAAGTGCTCGATAATAAATTGAATATCTTATTTTGTTATAGCCAACAAATTGACCATCTCTCAGCTATAGCACCCATACAATATTCAAATGAATTGTTTAGACAAGGGCCACAAGGAGAACCCAAAACAACCGCAGATGGGGAAAGCAAAAAAAATGTTCAAACAATGAATGAAATGTTTTTGTTACGTGTCAATATTATTTCTTCAATACGTTTTGTTTATAAGAACTGAATCAGCGTCCGTCGGTGCATAAAAAACGTTGTTTTAAAAATACTCGACCATTACGCGTGGTCTTCAGATGTTTTTGGGTAAAAGTATTTGGCTATTTTCGCACTTTCAAAAATATACACAAAACAGATAGAAGACTTTGTGACATGCCAACATGACGAAACGAGTGTTCAAAGTGTCAGCGATGATATGCCAACAACTTGACTCAACCTGACTGGCGAATTATTCAAGCAAATCTCTTCGGGAGCAAGAGGAGGCATAGCAAACCATGTGCACACCCCAATGAGCACGACACATAAATATTTATGTATTGTAGATGCAATACAATTGAATGTGTTTAGTCTAGAAACACTAGTACGACGAGTTTATGGCACTATTAATTTCGAGTGTCTCTCGATTAATCTCCTGCAAATGCAATCCCTTTCTGCCTCTTAATTGCACTTAAAATACTCGTACTCGTTCGCTGCCAGCGATATTTTCGGCCATACAACTAAGCACATATTCAAAGGTGTATATATATAGCCACCGTCGACTGAAGAATCGGAGCAGAGCGGCAGGACAGGGGTCTGGACTGTGCCGAGCTGTCAGCGCATTTGCCAAAAAGTCGCGACGAGAATGCAAATCGCTACCAGCGCCCCTCATCATCTGGTTAGCACCAGAAAGTGCTTCTTTCTAGTCGTGTGACTGGCCTTTGTCTCTCTCTCTCTCTCTCTCTCCCTCTCTCGACCCTGTGTGGGCGTTGAATTAAAAAAAGTCGACCACTGTCTGCCAAATCGGTTGCTCCGAGTGCGATGATTTCTTGTAGTATAATCGTATCGATGCGCATTTCGCTAGCTGCGGCTGCACTGGCATTGATCGAGATTGATTCCACATCGGACGACATCCTTCCAAGCACTGAGTGTTCCCCCACTATCCCCCAATATACATACATATATCGTTTCAGACGGCAAGTCAACATAAGTATGTATGTACATATTTACATATCAATTGACCATCACGACAAAAAACATTGACAAGACAAACACAAAAACCGCACGGACATGAATGTGTTCGTATACACAGATTGTTATTAAAATATTGCCACGCTCCGCATAAAAGATGCATGAAATTGGTTCCACCAGTGGATTTGAATGTCATGCAGAAGTGGGAATACCCTAATAAATGGAAATTAACTCATCCACAATACAAATATCTTTAAATGTGATTGAAAATCGAAAGTGACAAATGAATCTATAGGAAAGTCATGTTCCAAATCAGTGATTAATCCCTAAGTGATTGACCCAAGTACTTTCCTTTGTGATACTCAACCATGTCCCAAACCCAGATCAGTGCAGATATACCCGATTTGCTGCCAGAACGCATACATATTTTTGCACGAGGCGCGCACAAAGTCAAGACTATAATTATAGCGACACCCACCTATTGGCGCCCAATTTCTAGCAAACAGAAACGCATACAAATGTACGTCCATAGAATATACCCATACGCACACAATCAATATCACGGACAAGCGGACAACGATGCGTCTCACGGTCAAGTTGAAAAGCATTGAGAGCGGATGTGGAAATGGGAATGGGATGTAGATGAGAATGTGAATGGGGGAGCAAAGGCAGATGTGTAAATTTCTATGAAGGTCAGTCTAACCGCAGAGGGAGTAACAATCGAAGAAGGGCAACACAAATTTCTCCCTCTCACTCTCTCTCTCCCCCTCTGTCTTTCTACGAGTGCGTCTGTGACATTAACCCAATAAAAATAGTTGAACATACAAAACGCTCTAGCAGCCAGAGCGGAGACAAGAACCCTACGCAGAAATTACGAGCGATCACGAACGATCATGAATGATCACGAACGATCAAAGCAGAGAGGGAAAGAGAGAGAGAAAGGGGGCCAGTGAGAGCATAAGAGAGCTTCCAATTTCGGCCGATCGTCTTCGGGAATTTCAATCTGTGTCTTTGATTTGGTTTCGCGAAAAATTTCGCTCAGTTACGAGGAAAATTGCGGCGCGCCAACTTGGGAAATGAGTTGCGTGGTGCCCTAGTCGCAGTCCGGTTCCGAGCAGCAGCATCCACCTTACACCGTGCACCATACACAACTAAGGCCAACAAAGCCCCCAAGGATTAGGCTGCAACGAAGTGTGACCAAAGTGTGATCTATGTGTGTCGTCGCTCCTCCATCTTCGTTGATTCTTTGATTCTACGATTATTTTTAATTCTATTTCCAATCTCGTGTGGCTATTTCGGTGCGCGTTTGTTTTTGTGGGTAATTAGCACAAAGTGTCGAGCAATTTTACGTCTCAATTGAGCTCAAGTGCTGCCCTTCTGCCAAGAGCAATGTGATGACTAGCCGAAAAGTTAATACGTAGCTGAATAATTGCCCGAAATTGAAATATTAATTGTTCTACATTTATTATGTGTGCGCGAAATACAAGATACTAGTTGTCTCTATAGATATTGCCTGGCTAAAAATATACATACATATGCATATAAAAGTCCACATCCATACAATATAACAGCAAATTTTATTTATTGCCTAAATATATTTGTGTGTTTCTTGTGCGGGTGTGTCCGTCGTCTGTGTCCCGTCGTCCATAAAGCGACGCTGGGCCAACGATTTGGCGTATACGATTCGAAAATTCTTTTGCTAGTAACACTTTCAGTTGCCCCCAACAAAATCTCAACTCGTAAAAATTTATATCAAGCAAAAAGATTGCAAAAAAGAATCAACAGCAAAAGTAGCAGTGAAAACACATAAAGAATTAATAAAAGACTAAAAAACAAAACGGAAAATAAATAAATTCAACAATCATGTCCGCCTCTACGCGAAGTTCGGTGACGAGAAAATCATCGCTGAGCAAAATTTCCACAGCGGAAAAATCTACAAAGTCCTCGACAAGCTCCTCAAAGACCACATCGACAGCAGCAACAGCAGCCCCACCAAATGGAGGAAGCAAACAGAAAATGCAGTACACAAAAACCAGGGAGCGCATGGTCGATGGTAAAATTATATTTCAATTGGTTCTAATAATTGAGGGCCAGTTCTGGCAAGCGGATATTTGTCCGAATTTGTTTGGAATTGGAATATGCATTCGGAGACAATTCGGTCAATCATTTCTGATAGATTAATATCTCCCTTGGTGGTACTGAAATACTTATACCGTGTGTGTCCTCCCAAGAGACCAAGCCAAAGATTATTTTCTTTATTTATATACCACACATTAAAAGTATTTCTTGGATTATTCCAACCTTTCGTGTGCTTTATGGGAAACCCTTTCCTTAAGCGCACATCTGTCTCGGAAATTGAGGAAGATGTTTTCTCAACTGCTACTCTGTATGCCTGTATACAAAAAGACAAGTCTCAATCAAGCATTCGACGAAACATACACACAGATATCTCTCTCATGATAATATCTATACGGACATTAGATCACGCTTCAATGCATCGAACGCATTAATTGAAATCGAATTAAATTATTTTTCATTAATTTCGAAGCAATGAAAACCGAATGTTGTACTAGTACGGGTGGAATACGGTCTAATAGTCAACTCTTGAATACTTTTCACTTCTGATACATGGAAGTTAATATGTTTCTCGTAATCTCGTTCTCCACATTTCCGCACACATTTTCGGCTGTTAATTTAATATTTTTAAATATAATTTGTGCTCTATCCGCTTCCGGAAAAGCTTAAATCCAAAGGGGCTCCCTGTTGTTCTGGTTTTATGGGTGATATAAGAATAATTTTAATCATCCTTGAGCACCCATAAGAAACAACAACTGCAATGCTTTGGCATTTTATTGGCCATCAAAATTTCAACATTTTCCCCAAATTATGACAATTAAAAATGGCGTGTGCAATGGTGTGCGCGGGCGTGTGTGTGTCTGTGTGGTGTTTTTGTGTGTGCCAATCAATGTTCGACTTTTATATTCACTCATTCAAAATTTTGTAATTAGCGTATGAAATTCATGTGCCTGCCGATTTGCCGGGCTGCCTGCATCTATTTTTTTGGCGGGGCCCATAAATCCGAAAAGAAAAGCGGCCAAAACCATAACCAAAATATTGGCGATAAGTTGCAGCGGCTCGTTAACCCACATCGACATCAGACAGCTCTGTTCTGTTCTGTTCTTTTCTGTTCTGTTCGACTAGACCAGACCAGTGCAATGTTTATTACAAAACTATCAATGCATTTGCATACTCCCCCAGATGTCCCGTTGCCGCCCACACACAAGCTTACCATGTCCGAGGTCTACGACGACGAGAAGACGGGCAAACCTAATTTTGATGTACTGCGCAAGCATTTCCTGCTCGAGGGCCGTGTCGAGGAGTCGGTGGCCCTGCGCATCATCAATGAGGGCGCCAACCTGCTGCGCGAGGAGAAGAACATGATCGACGTCGAGGCCCCCATCACCGTCTGTGGCGACATTCACGGACAGTTCTTCGATTTGGTCAAACTTTTCGAGGTTGGCGGACCCCCAGCCACCACAAGATATCTCTTCCTAGGCGACTACGTAGACAGGGGATACTTCAGCATAGAGGTGCGTTGAGTTATACCTTTTCAAATGAGTCGGGAATGAGTTGCTATTCCTCCTTTTTCAGTGCGTTCTGTATCTGTGGTCCCTGAAGATAACCTACCCCACCACACTGTCGCTGCTGCGAGGCAATCACGAGTGCCGACACCTCACGGAATACTTCACCTTCAAGCAGGAGTGTAAGCATACCATTTTCATAAGGAATAAATGATGCACAAGACTTGAAAGACATATTTATAGTATTCCCTTGCATCACAAGCAGTTGCTACGGTTCTATAATCTGTGGATATCATAATATAGGCTTTCTTGATGTTGTTGTCTTTGGCATTTAATGTGTTTTTAAAAGCTACAACAAGTGCATAAATCGTATTTGTGTATTTGTGACTCTTTCCTTATTCTGATTGAAGGCATCATCAAATATTCGGAAAGTATTTACGAGGCCTGCATGGAAGCGTTCGACTGCCTTCCCCTGGCCGCCCTGCTCAACCAGCAGTTTCTGTGCATCCACGGCGGTCTGTCGCCAGAGATTTTCACACTCGACGATATCAAGACGGTAATGCTCGTAAATTAGGAACCTGCTGAAATCTTTACAGCATTTATAAAGCTCTACGCTCTGTGCTCTGTGGTTGTGTGTGTTTTTCTAGCTAAATCGATTCAGAGAACCACCGGCATATGGACCCATGTGCGATCTGCTGTGGTCCGATCCACTGGAGGACTTTGGCAACGAGAAGACGAGCGAGTTTTTCTCCCACAACTCTGTGCGAGGCTGTTCCTACTTCTTCAGCTATTCGGCCTGCTGTGAATTCCTGCAGAAAAACAATCTGTTGTCCATAGTGAGAGCACACGAAGCCCAGGATGCGGGGTACGATCTAATTTATCCTCGCCTTGTGGCATCTTTTTACGTATTTGTATATTCTCACTGCATATAGCTACCGCATGTATCGGAAGAATCAGGTAACTGGCTTCCCCTCACTCATCACCATCTTCTCCGCCCCCAATTATTTGGATGTTTACAACAACAAGGTATATCTCTCTTCCAACTTAAATTGTTTATTCCGTTTAGTTGTTAGTTTTATTGTTGCTATTTTTAAATAACGAAATCTCTTTTGGCTGCATTGCGAGCTGGTGCGATTTTCATTCGCGCCGCGTTCGTAATACCTCCTCTATATTCTTCTGCTCGTATCGCTCTCATTTTGTCAACCAACCCCAATGATCGCATTTGACAAAAGGCAGCTGTGCTCAAGTACGAGAACAACGTGATGAACATTAGGCAGTTCAACTGCTCCCCCCATCCCTACTGGCTGCCCAACTTCATGGATGTCTTCACATGGTCATTGCCCTTCGTGGGCGAGAAGGTGACTTCCAAATCCATTACAACATTTGTTTACAAAACTTACAAAACTACGCTATAAATAGGTAACCGAGATGCTCGTGAATATCCTCAACATTTGCTCGGATGACGAGCTGGTGTCCGGACCCGATGACGAGCTGGAGGAAGGTAAGTGGGGAGGGCTTGTAGCTTCGGAACTAATATCCATAGAAGGTGTCCTAAATGTCGTAGTGCTTTAGTTGTGTTTGGGGGCGACAAGAACAACAATACACTGGAATTACAAACTAATCTTCTATTAAAAATATTTTCAAAAATCCCAAAACAAAATGCGACAACTGCAATCTACTACTCGAACCTTCCCTAATACGTATACTATTTAAATGTAAATGTTGTGTGTACACCAAACAACCAACCGACTTTCCACTCAAAAACACCACCTCCAACAACAACAAAAAAACACCTCCTCGATTATAAAGAGCTGCGCAAGAAAATTGTGCTGGTGCCGGCGAACGCGAATAATACCAATAACAATAATCCGCCCAGTAAGCCAGGTAAGCTCCGTGCCAAGCGCAGGCCAATGCCAAAGCCAAAGACAGCAGCACTGCCAATGCCATTGCCAACGCTTAAGCCAGGGGTAGAGCCCGAGGCACCGCCAGCGGCGCAGCCACAGCAGCATCAGCAGCAACAGCAGCCGAAAGATAGAAAAGCTTAGTGAGAGCTTTGCACTGCTTTGATCAGCTTTAGCGCAAGCTTTAACGCTGCTTCGCTTCCCACAAGAGCAAGAGAGTTTCAGACTAATTGAGCCCTCAATTCGCAGCTTCCATGTCAGCGCTGCGCAAAGAGATAATACGGAATAAAATACGGGCCATTGGCAAGATGTCGCGCGTCTTCTCGATTCTCAGGTACGTGCGCACACTTACCCTCTTAAATATGTATGTATGATTATGCCCAAATAATTGTCTCTCTAATAACTATGCAGAGAGGAATCTGAGAGCGTGCTTCAACTGAAGGGTCTGACGCCTACCGGCGCCTTGCCAGTGGGTGCGTTGTCTGGTGGAAAGGATTCCCTGAAGGAGGGTAAGTTATACAGTAGCTTGTGGGAAGACCAAACTCAGTTACTAATACCTTGTCTTTTACTATTGTTGCTAATCATTATTCAAGTTCGGTCAATTATAACAATTAATCTTACTTTAAAACAGCTCTAAAGGTCATTTAGCCGTGCAAAATCGCAAATAATTCTCAAATTTAATATCAGTAGCGAAATTTTATATGGCTTATATCCATTTAAACGCTGGTATAAAGCGCCATTAACCTTGAATATCGGAATATAATTACAGAAATAGAATTTGTTTTTGATTCTCGAATTACCTTGACTTTGGTAATGGGCGTCTTTAGCAATTTCACTTAAATAGAAATATACTTGTAGCTCCTATTGACCGACTTCATATAGCAATATTCGATATCGTCAAAAGTCTTATCCAACGAAGTGAATTGGATGTTTGTAAACTCAAAATTTGAACGAACTTCCACGGCTACATATAGGATCATAAATAACTGAACTACATAGGTACTCGTGGCCCACATCTTAGCACGCTAATGAACCAATCGGAACTGATCATTTTCATTACGTTTTATGAGATTCTAAAATATTTCGATAATTGCCAGCAACCGAACTATTATGGCCACTAGTTGAGCATTCATCTAAATGGCGCAATTTAAATTTGTGGTTAACATCAACTTTTGTGAGAATGGGAATATATTCAATGCTGGATACCCTAAAAAAAATCTAAAAATCTAGACAATATGAGCAACAGACCTAAATGGTTTTGATAGAAAACAAAGCACTAAAGAACAATGAGCTTAGTTTAATTACATCTTCATTTCCAAAATTGGTGCAAAGATTTCACTTATGAAAGGGTGCCGTAAACTTTAACCACAGCTCGATATCGTAGGCAAACCAATTGGTTTCTCAAAGATATTCCCCCTCTGGTTACTTTTGTAACCTGTTGATTCACAAAGTCAATGGAAATCCTTTCGAATAGCAGATCGTGCTGAACAAAGAGAACAAAAATCGTGAATTATAAGAGTCAAAGCAGTAAAGAAATCCACTCACATCGTAGGGGCATGAATTGTTCATATTGGAGTATCCGGCGTCAGGGTTGGTCGGTGTATCCTTCAGGAATCTACAGGCATCTACAGTCACATTGTACATGAAGGGTCTATAGCCGCTGAATCTCTTGAAATTTCACCGTGAAAAATACTCCGATATTGTCTTAAACAACACTTTAAACATACCTTGATTTTGGTGATGGGAGTTTTAAATAAATTCACCTTCGCGGACATATATTTGTAGGTACGATTGACCGACTTCAGATAGCAGTATTCGAAATCGGCAAAATTCGTATCCAAAGAAGTGCACTTGATGCTTGTGAACTCATATTTTGATGAAATCTTAAACGAGAATACAATAGCAATGAAAATTACTTGATATATGGAGGGAAGTCTAGATACCTCAGCGATGGAATATAGTAGCGAAAAAACCCAAAGCAGAGAGTCAAGCTTGGTGGACATCCTTTTATATTGAGGGACTGACGGGAAATGAGCTCACTGTATGCAATTTCCAATGGAACATTAACTCGAAATTTGTTTAAAAATCAATCAACGATAATTAATATTCTGGTACCTAATGGGCCATTTCATTAAATTTATGTTGTATTGTTGGAATGCTGATTTTAATTTTCCCCAAATGCTTGATGCGTTTAACGAATGAATTGCTTTTGATTCTCTATTTGTAAATATAGTATATGTTTCAAACTAGTTCTGTACTAATGGCCGAATAATTGAATTCGCCATCTGCAAATGGCCATCCACAATTTTGCCCCGAAAACAGCTTAGTAATATTTCAGTCGATTGGACATTATACTGGCTATTATTTAATTGCCACAATGGATATGAAACCGCTTAAATTTTGAAAATTCAATTGTACACACACACCTTTAAACATATAATCGGAAATATAGAAATATAAAAAAAAAGTTCCATGAACTTTAATCACAACACGAAGAAGTGCATTGGATGTTCGTAAACTCATACTTTGATTGGATCTGGAATACAGATTTATTATAATTTTGGGAAATACTATTTTAATTGATCTTCATACTGCAGCGCCAGATAAAGGAGCACCAAAGCAGATGTGAAATGAGTTAGTTTTATGTTTGAATGGGTTTCAATTGAACAGCAAATGTTTTTAAATCTTGATTTTGATGGTTATGCAACTGACTAATGACTACATTTATGTGTAATTGCGTTTCCGATTGAATTTCAGGTTTTCCTTTATGATCTATCTATCTATGTTTATTGACTATTACGACTTTTATTATTATTTATGTATTGAAGTATCCTCCCACTTCTATGCAGCTCTTCAAGGACTAACCGTTGCCTCGCACATCCACTCGTTCGCTGAGGCCAAGGGCCTAGATGCGGTCAATGAACGTATGCCGCCACGTCGCCCACTGCTGATGAGTGCCAGCAGCAGCAGCATAACGACAGTCAGCAGTACCAGCACCAGCAACAACAACCACACTAATAATAACAGTAATAATAATAATAATACAACGACGAAGAACAGCAACAGCAACAGCAGTAGCAGTAATGCCACCACAACCGTGACCAAGACGAGCAGCAGCAGCAGCAGCAGGAGCACCGTAAAATCGGCCACAACCAGCAATGTGCGGGCCGGATTCACCTCCAAGAAATTCTCATAATTCAGAGAGATTCTTGATCCACCTCCACCTACTCCTACTCTCCTGAAATGATTATGATTTAATGTTAATGTTTGATTTTCTGTTATCTAGATCTACTTTTGTTAGCTACCAATTTTATACAAGAATTCTGTGCTACAGCTAGTCATCTGAGGGAGGCCTCATACGTACGAGTAGAATATCTCCCTACCTTAAACCTGCAACTGCAATATTAGCAAAAATTTATACGTGACATGACAAAATATAGTTCAATAAAAATGGCAGCAAATAGCTCAACAAAATTATTATTTGTTTGCCATCCAAAGGTCTCTGGTCCCTCAAAGGGGGCAATGCAAGTGCAGCTGTGCCTGCCATCAGTCCCACACTGCCACACTTGTCCCACTGCTCTAGTCAGGCGTAACAGATCATCACGAGGCCCAAGAGACTGGGGCGGAGAACACTGTAATAATAATCAACGAAATGCAAACAGTAGTAGAACAGAATCATTCACCGCCGGGCGTCATTTGCCGTGGAAGATTCCCCCGTCTTTTATTTCGATTTTGGGCTGGCAATGTCATTCGGCAACGTGCGCAAGCAGACAGCGGCAGATATTCATACGGATAAAGATAAAGGTAGATTAGAGGCTAGATAAAGATTTACAATGGAATGAGATCCGACTATGAGTTGTTCGGGTTGGGCAAATGTCAGTGCTAAAGCTGGGGCAGCGCTCAAATCGCATATAAAAGTATCCTGGGGGATCTTTGGAATCTGGAATCTTTGTTGTCTATCCCTCGCCAATTCTGAAGATCTCAGACAGATCTACAACGACTGTAACTAGAGAAGCACCCAAATAGCAGCAAAACCCAACAACACAAATCAATGACAATAGGCTGGCCCCAGCTCTAGATTGGATCCCATTGTATTCCAGCGAAATCATGTAATAGAACACACAGAAATCTAGTGTAGTGGGAGAGATCACGTCAAGTGGGTGATACGCAAGTGGCATTGAGAGGTCGGAGAAGATAAACTCTTTCGAATGTTTGCCAAATGGCAGGGCAACCCGAAAACATAAACAGAAATGCAAACAACACGCATACGCATTGTGTTCCGATGCCACGAGATACGAGTACGTAGTAAATGGAAGAGAAGATCCAAAAACGCGACTGTTTTATCATTTTTGATTAACGACAAACAACGGCATCACAGAATTCATCTGCAGCACCACGATCAGCGATAAGATTTGCACCCGAAAGAGCCGCACGATCCACGGCAGCCGCTTCACGTGCAGAATCAACTGTAAATCAGCGCATTGACACATGTGTCTCACGGGGGGAAATGTCGAAAGAAGTCTCCGAGTAAACCGTGATCGTTTATACGTCTATACTTAAACTTTATGGTATGGCGGGGGCTCTGGGCTTTGCTTTGCTTTGCACGTTTTTATGGATTTATCTTCGTAGAGCTGTAATTTTCATAGAGCCGAAGCCGAACGTTTCGGCAAATCCGACGATTCGGGTTCTGGCTGTTCGGATCGGACGGATCGGATCGTTTGCCATATAACGGCGATGGGGGCTTGTTGCGGTGTTAGTCGCTAATTGTAATCCACACGAGACGCGGGCTCTGGGCAACACACAGAAATCCACAGTTTCGCGCACTCCGATTCATGTCCATTCCGATGGCCTTTTGAACAAATCTGCGCCTCAAGCTGAGCTGTGATATAAATAGGAATCGGAACAATACATCCCCAACAAGATCTTCTAAATTGCTCGCGTAGTATTTTAATCTGCGTCTTGTGAAAATGCATTGCCTTCAGTTCGTTGCTTTTGTCGCGTGGTGCGGTGGCCTGATCCCAGGAAGCTGGACGGCCACTCTCCAGCCACCGCCACTGATCCAGACCCTCAGCGCTGGCAGTGACATTGGGCCAGAGTTCAGCCTGGGCCAGCAGCAGCCCCAGCCGACACCGCTGGAGAAAGTGGAGCCGGAAGGTAAGTCCCCCCAATTTTCCCTATTGCGACGTTCCCTTCAATTTGACATTCCCCAACTGCCTGCACGTGCAGAACCAGCAGTAAAGAAGCCAGGCGCTGCTTTAAGTACGTGAAATAATTCCCATTATTTGAACTTGAACCGTTCCCTCAGTTCAATTATGCAACAAGTACTTTAACGAGGCACAGCAATTGGATTTATTTTAGGAACGTTCAAACAGTTAAAACATTGTCTTTTAAAAAGTAGTTATCCACACAACAACAAAATGTGTATTAATATTGCCTCGTAATGTAACAATATAATCAGCTGGAACAACGACCATTACTAATTCTGTTATGTAAAATATCAGTTATTTTTATGGTACAAAAAAAACGCTTATAAGCCTTCAAGCCTCAGTTAGCAACAAAACTCTAATCCAACTGTCAGTTTCGCCCCCACATTGCTTTTAATAAAATAGAGTTAAAGAAGATCAAACAACTTTTCCAAAAAAAAAACCATCATGAAAATGTAATTTCATTGCCAATTCGAATTAGCAGTCAAGTAATGCAGCTTAACTGTAACCTGCTTCAAAGTCGAGGTCGCAATTACCACCTCAATTGAATTTTAATTAACGCAAAATGATAATCGATAATCATGATCCGAACTGAATCAGCTAATGTGCGATCCATAATGTGCAACGGAAATGCAATTTAGTTACGAGTATCGCAAAGTGATTTGTATTCCAGGCAGTCAAACTTTTGTTTCCCTTTCGTTTTGGGTAATTGATTCATCAAAAATTTGGCAACTATTTTGCAGCAGAGTAGGTTGCTTTGAAAAAGGGTTTGAGATTCTCTGGAATTCTTGATTCTTGTACTATTCTTAGAGTTTAACCCACTAGTAAGTTCTTAGAAGGCTAACAACTTAAGCACTTGTATCTGCGTTAAGTAACAGAATGAAAATCAATATTTACCGAGTGGCAGTCCATCAATATGTCTGGATGGGGAAAGTACACTGCGCAGTGCATTGAAGTAGAAAATTGCACAATTCTATAATTATAGTAAATATGGAAAGCAGATACTTATGAGAGTATAATTTAAGACCTAAACCTGTCGTATGGCCAATTAACAATAACACCGAAACAAATGGAATTGCCATTACGGATAACCCAACTAATTCCGAGCTACGAGATATAGAATATAAATAGAGTGTATAAATTATAATAAAAGGGGATCTACAAACCGACTTCAAGATGCATTTCAGACACAAAATAAATCTAAATAATTAGCCGTACGAGAAAATAGTGTAGGAAGTGTAACTAGGCGAGGCAATTAAGAGGCGACGTGTCCACGACAAAACGTGACAGGCTTGTGGTTGTCCCAACGATTCGGATTCCCATTTCAATAAACGTTTAAATTCCCGCTTACAGATGCAAAATTCTGGCGGGATGTTGGATTGAAACAGCTGAAGAAGACCATTGATCAGGCCAAGCGGGCCGATGAGCACTCGTACACGAAGAAGGCCAGGAACATTATCATCTTCATTGGGGATGGCATGGGAGTGTCGACGATCAGTGCGGGACGCATCTACAAGGGCCAGTACCTGAAGCACGGCCATGGCGAGGAGGAGACGCTCTCCTTTGATCACTTTCCCAATACTGGAATGGCCAAGGTACGAGTTTGCAACAGGATTTATGCATTTCATTTCAGTCTTCACCTTTCACCGACAGACTTACAACGTGGACAAACAGGTCCCAGACTCAGCCGGCACGGCCACGGCATTGTTTACCGGAATAAAGACGCACTACGGAGCTATTGGCGTGGATGCCACTCGCTCCAAGATGGATGCCAAGCTGGGACGAATTGAGAATATCATGGAATGGGCCCAGAAGGAGGGAAAGCGCACGGGTGTGGTGACCACAACGAGAATAACCCATGCAACGCCTGCGGCCACCTACGCGCACGTCTACGATCGTGACTGGGAGTGCGAAACCGAGGTGCCGCATGAGTCGGTGGGCATCCATGTGGACATTGCTCGGCAGCTGGTGGAGAATGCTCCGGGCAACCGATTCAATGTGATCCTGGGCGGTGGCATGTCGCCCATGGGCATCCTGAACACCACCGAGGTAAAGCGGACCAAATTCGAGGGCCCCACCGAAACGATCTGCAGTCGAAGGGATCGCCGCAACCTTCCCGCCGAGTGGCTGGCACACCATTCCAAGGACAAAGTGCGACCAGCACTGGTGCACAACCGGGATGATCTGCTGGCTGTGAACGCAAAGAAGGTGGATCACTTGATGGGCCTGTTCCGGAACAATCACATCACCTACTCGATTGCCAGGGAGGAGGGCGAACCGTCGCTTCAGGAGATGACGGAGACGGCTCTAAAGGTGCTCGAACGGGGAGACGATTCTCCTGGGTTTGTGCTCCTCGTCGAGGGCGGGCGCATCGATCAGGGCCATCACATGAACTACGCTCGGGCCGCTCTGCATGAGGTGTACGAGTTCGATCTGGCCATCCAGGCGGCCCTCAACATGACCGATTCCGACGAGACGCTCATCCTGGTCACGGCGGATCACTCGCATGCCGTCACCTTCAACGGCTATGCGCTGCGCGGCAGCGACATTCTGGGCGCCTCGAACCTGCACGAAAAGGCGGACCCCATGGTCTACGAGACCATCTCCTATGCCAACGGTCCCGGCTACTACGATCACCTTGCGAACGATTCGCGGCCTGCGAACAGCTCAAACATGTGGATGCCGCTCAAGCTGTACACCGAGGAGGAGCGCAGGGCACCCACCTACCGCCACCTGGCGTCCGTGCCGCGTAAAGACGAGACTCACGGCGGCGAGGATGTGGCCGTGTTCGCCTCCGGTCCCGGCTCCAGCCTTGTGCGCGGCGTCTTCGAGCAAAACTATGTGGCATACGTGATGAGCTATGCCGGCTGCTTGGGTCCGGCCAAGAACTTCGACGACTCCTGTGAGGATCACAAAGAGAAGAAACCGATTAAGAGCGGCGCAGCCAGCTCTTTGCAAGCGGCTGTTCTTCCCATCTTGGCTGCCGCCTTCCTGCGTGGGCGCCTGCTGTAATGTTGTTGTTTTTTTAAATTAGTTTTTACGGATTTTGTAGATAACTGTAGTACAAGCGAAAGAGACGATGCGAAAAGGTGTGCAAATTACCAAATATTAAAAACTTAACATAAACAATTGCGTTTCAATTAGTAACCAAAATTGCGTTGAGGCGATCATTTTTGCTATCGAAATAATTCTGTTAAATTACTTTACTTATTTATTCTTCACAATTACACTTTCTCGCACAAGTCTTTGCCGTTTACAAAAGTCTCGCAAGGCCGCCAACAAATAATCAACTCAACATAAGAATTGGAACCATCGTTTCTATCCCGCTTTGGCGGCGGGCACTGCAGCCTTGCTGGCAGCTGGCGCTGTAGGTGCTGCGGACTCCTCGTCCAGCTTCTTGATGCGATGCAGGTCGACGCATTGCCGGAACTGGGCCACCTCCTCCATGCACTGTAGGGTCTCGCCGGGATGGGCGCGGTAGCAGGCCAGCAGCTGCGACTTCAAGTCCTGGCAGGGTGGCACCTTATGCGCTGCCGCGGTGCTGACGAAGCGCTTGTGCACGTTCTCCACGGCATTGGCGTACTCCGACTCGAGGATGGTGTTGGTCTTCTTCAGGTTCTCCTCCAGCTTGACGAGGCGCTGGCGCCAGTGCTCGTCGTTCTGCTGCAGCTCCTGGTTCATCTGTCGCTGCACATCCGCGGCACTGATTGTTTGTCCGCCGCCCTGCACATAAATGGAAGTGGGGGCCTGGTAGGAGGGAGTCTTCACGGCGGACGCAGGCGCTGACAGTACTGCTGTGGGCGCAGCGGGTGCTTTGGCTGCCGTTTGGGACTCCTCCGCGACGGCGGCGTGCTGCCGAGCTGCAAGATATTTCGATTAGGGTCAAATCATATTTTACTCGAAGAAATTCCCATTTCAACTATTGTTGCATAACAGTCTGGGGACATATTCGCAATTGCGTTGGGAGTGTCTTTGGAGCTTTGTACATTACCCTGCTGTGAGATGCCCGCCTTGAGGCGCTTGACCACATCATCGGATATGTCGATGACGCCCGCAGGAGTTGGGTTCTCCATTGAAACGGAACGTGGTTCTCGCGACTGTGATTGCCTGGCTCCCATTGTGAGGATTTGTGTTCTGGCTTTGTCTGGTCTCTAACGCAACAAAACCTGCAAGAATTATAGATTAGCCGTCAGTACAGTATGTAATAGACATTGAATTAGCTCCCAAATTACTTATTTAAATCGTTTTTTAACCTTTTTCGTTGAAAACACTAAGCGGTGCCTAGTGTGACCGTTCAGACCTTACAATCAGCTGTTGGCAGTGTGACCGTGGATTGGTCAATAAAATATACCTCAATAACATACAGTTAATATACCGAGGATAAAAACTAACTTAACCCACTTAACACCGCTCTAATCAAACAATTTAAGAACTTAAGGGGAACTTTTGGAATTAATAGTCTTTGTGAATGTTCCTTGCAGCTACAACCTACTCTTTACATACAAAATACAAATTAAACCATAGCCATCACTCGAGCTGCTTTAAAATTCTTTTAGTCTCAGAATTTAAGGATTTATATTTAAACCCCCACTGGTCGACAATGGGTTTATCGTACTCTGTCCTCTTCCGGAAATCATATTCCTCATTTCTGATACTTGATTTTATACCCTATGTTCACAATAAATTAATTCAAATGTTAGTTTTAATTTTTGTTGAAAATCGTATGATTTTATTTAGGTTTTAGCTTGGTTTGTCTTTCGTTTGTGGATTTCTTTCAATTACATACACTTAAATGGCATATTATTGGTGTGTCTGTTCTTCTGGGGTCTCTGATGATTTGCAATTGCATTTCCATTGACTTTCATTGCCTTATTGTTTATTTTACGATTACCCTTCAGTTATTAATTATTTATGCTTTATGGTTTTAGTCTGGAGTGCTGCCGCATCGCAAGTGGTGTTATGCTTTAAAATTTTATTGCTTATCACTTGTGCGTGTTGTTATCGATTGAAAATCGCGTTCGAATTATTTGCTGTCGATAAACGTTATCTGTTTTTTCGTAAGTTAAGCTTTTCTTTAATTGTTGCTGTGACTGAATTTGCCGTTTTTATTCTGCTCAGACATACATAATCATGTTTTAGTTTTTGTTAATCTATAATTTGAAATACTTGCTAATTACATAAATGTGGCGTGCACTTATCGATAAATCTATCGACTCCCATATTAACGAATCCGTTTATTAAGTTTTCATGTGTTCATGTGTTTCTTGTGGTTATTTTTGTATTTCATATCACTGTTGGTGGTTTGTTAATGTTCAATTACTCGCGTTCTTTGTGTGTCGACTCGATTTCGATTTAAGTTTAATTATTTTTTATATTATTTATTAGTTCAAAAGTACTATTCTCAATTCAATATACACATACATTTTAATTATACAAAATCCTGAAAATTACGTCTGCCCCTTTGCATTTTCGGTAATTTATCTTCAATTTGTTAGTTTCTCTATGGACTCTTCGTACACGATCTTCATATTCGCATCTATAGTTTTTCATAATTATTATGAATCAGTTTTTGCTTTCAGTTTTGAATCTTCATCTTCACTATGTCCCCCCGATAAAATGCTAATTGTTTAGTATTCTTTTGTATGCTAGGAGGAAAATCACACATAAGTATATAATTATTTATAAGGATATTTATGGATATTTCATATGTACACTGAATAAGTATTCGGGTTGTATACCAACTGGAGAATCTATCTAGGGGAAAGGTGATCTGATCTCTCGTGTATAATAGTTGGTCGAGTTGTTGGAAAAATCATTGGGTCTGGGGCCGAATGCTGAACAAAAACGAACGAAAAATCGAAAATATAAAAACAATTTATAAGAAATATCACGTAATGCATTTTTATTTAAGTTTCTTGCTGTCTGATATCTGATTTCTATATGGTTTTGCTGTTCGATTCGTGTTTGTTGGTGTGATTGTGGTGTGTTCTTTATACTTTCTAGAGGCTGTCTGTCGTCTGTAGTTCGTGGAGTTTTACATTTGTTTTACGTGTTCTCATAAGATATAGTTCGTATAGTTATCATATATTTATATATATTGTATAGTATATATAATTTTTACCCATTTTCTCTTGGCGCATTTAGAAATTAAGATACATTTTTTTTTGCATTTTTGTTTTATTTTTTATGGTTTGGTATTACTTATAGACAAATTTCATATTATAGCTAATTTATTAGCTAGCGTTATGTAATTTAAGTGCCCGTCGACGACTGACGGGTTCCACTCGAAATGTTAATGCAAATGTTTTTGTTTGTTTGTTTGTTTTTTTTTGTATCTCTATCGCTAGGTTTCTTTTTATATCTTCTCTATGTTAGTTACATCCCTTGGGGCATCCCTGTCGATAGGGGGGATCCCTTCTACTCGAGAAATGCGCGCAGTTGAACAGTTTTAAATGGAGAAATATATGAACACATCCAGCGAAAGCGCAGACCATAAAAGTATATAATGGTACATATATAGCATGATATACATATATAAGTATATATATATATATATATATGTTTGTAGCAGATATATGGTAACATATTGTGGGTGTGTGGGGGTGTGGGACTGGGGGCATTACAAATCAGAGTGATGCTTAAAGCTAAAGAACCCTCTAATCGATATATCGTACTGTGGATCATCTTCGACATGACAGTGCCACGATAAAATTATCTGTAACTGGGGGGAGCGCTTAACCTAGGATTTGTTGGGGTTGCTTGCATAGGGTTTCGCTATCGCTAGATCTCTAGACTAAGGTTAGGGACACCCCGACGAGTGGAGTGTCCTTTGTTTCTTTTACACAAATATTACACTTACATTCAAATCTGGTTTCAATGATCGGGCTAATGCTATCGTTTCTATATATTCATCATTGAATATAAATCAGCGTTTGCTTGATGGTTTGTTCAGTGTTCAGTGGGGGCGCGGGGTCTGAGTGGAAACAATAAAAAGTAACAAACAAAAATGTTGAGCAAAGAGGAAGTTTTGGGCACAAATGCACTCTCTTTCAAGCGTGTTTCGCTTTGGGTCTTGGTGTTGTGTTGCACAGTGTAAACGTACAGTACTGTAGGTAAATGCTAGCTCTTTGCTCCTGCTCTCTTTCTCCCGCTGCTCACCCCTTTACAGGCTCCTCCAAAGTATGTTTTTGCCTGGAAGATGTTGGCGTTCCTTTCTGTCTTGCAGCCAATTGTTGCATTCGTTTTATCCACTAAAACTATATGTTAAATTAATCGTAATCTAGGTAATTAATTAATAAGCTTTGCCACGCCCTATCTCGATCCTCCGGGAGCGGAAGTCCATGTCAAAGCCGCAACAAAACGAAAATGTACAAAATTTAAGAAAAGCGCTCGCTCCGCTCCGCTCCTCTCCTCTCCTACATATCATCACCACCAACGCTTTCTCCACCATTCCTCTCGATGTGTGTGTGTGTAGGTGTGATTGTGGGGCAGGGACCAGGTCCTCCTGCATGGTACCGCATATATAAAGCATGTGTGTGGGGGTGTAGGTATGTGTGTGTGTGTGTGTCGGTGTATATATATAGGGCATACATAACTATGTATTCTACACGTATAGTTGCTGAGTTTTTTGTCTACTGTGTGTCCAGCGCTGCATCTAGACCATAAAATATTATTTAGCGTTCCGCACGTCGCCCACCACACCGCCGCTCTGGATGCTGCCGACTCCGCCACCACCACCACCGCCACCCTGGCGCATCCGTATCGATGGACGGCGCTCCGGTGTGTCGTAGGGCGGCCTTGAAGAATTGGTGGCCGCCATCGAGTCGTCCATGTTGAGCCCTCCGTTGCCGCCAATCAGCTGGCTGCCTCCATTTCCTCCGCCGCCCAGCATTGCCAGCGCCTGACCACCCTGGGAGCTGGTGCCGAGGAGCTGTTGCGTGCTGCCGCCCGCTGTGGCCAGCGCCGTGTTCACCTTGTGCTGCTGTTGGTGCGAAGAGGCGGCGGCTGCCGCGGCCACAGCTGCCGCCGCCGCGACTGCGTCATGGCCCACCTGGCCATCGGTGCCATCCTGGCCCTGCTGGATCGCCTGGGGATTGCGAGGCCCGCCGAACTTCAGCAGATTCCAGTCGAACACATAATCGTACGTGAAGCCCAGCCGGTGGAACAGGTTGCGGAAGAGCTTGCGCAAGTGGCAGTAGTCGGGGCGCTGGTCAAAGTGCATCTGCCGGCAGAAGTTCAAGTAGTTGACGAACTCGCTCGGGAAGCCCTTGCAGAGCACCACTATCGATGTGGAGAGCTTCTTCTCCGAGATGCGCTCGTACTTCTGGCGTTTGTTGGCCGCCTTGAGGCCCTGCCAGGGCAAAGCGCCCAGGTTGAAGTACATGAGGACGTAGCCCAAGGATTCAAGATCGTCGCGGCGCGACTGTTCGATTCCCAGGTGTGTGTTGATCGAGGCGTAGCGGGCGGTGCCCGTCAGGTTCTTGTTTTCCCGATAGGGGATGTGCTTCAGGGAGCGGGCGTCGCGGAACTTCTTGGCCAGGCCAAAGTCGATGATGTACACCAAATTGCCCTTCTTGCCAAGACCCATGAGGAAGTTGTCCGGCTTGATGTCGCGGTGGATGAAGTCGCGCGAGTGTATATAGTCGATACGCGAAATCATCTGATCCGCCAGCAGCAGCACCGTCTTCAGCGAGAAGCGGCGCGAGCAAAAGTTGAATAGATCCTCCAACGAGGGGCCGAGCAGCTCCATCACCATGACATTGTAGTCACCTTCGCTGCCACACCAGATGATCCGTGGTATACCGATCCCGCCCTGCATTGTCTTGTAGAACTTCGATTCTATGTGCAGTTGGGGATGCTTTGTGCGGATGCACTCCAGCTTGATCGCCACCTCCTCGCCAGTGTTGATTGTGGTTCCTAAGTAAATATCTCCGAAGGATCCCGATCCGATCTTCCTGCCCAAACGGTACTTGTTGCCCACGCGCAGCTCCATTTTGTCTGTGATTTTGTGTGTGTGTAAGAGAACTTTTCCTCTTGAAAGTGTTTTGCGTGTATTTGCGTTTCCTGCTGCTGGGGGGAGGGGGAAGACAAAAGGGAAGATTAGTTGAGTCTCATCATGGCTCTACACAACAGTAAAAGCTCGCTAGAAACATCACTGCACCTTTTCCACAAACCTTGCGCACTGTCCTTTCGTCTAAGCTCCGCTTGCTGTTTGTTTACTTTTCTACTTTTATTACTTTCCAGGTAGTCGCTTGCTTCAGACCTTCGTTTTGTTTCTGAAATAAAAGAGAAGACATTTTGTCGATGAGTATCGGTTTGCAGTCTCCATTCTACACTCTGTTTGTCATTGCCGTTATAGCGGTAAATGAGCGACGTGCCCGCCACAGGGCCAGCAATGAACACTGACTCTTAAAAAACAAACGTACATTTGTGTCTCCAAAAACAAAATGCAGCGTCAGGTCTTTTCAATTTTGTCGTTGATAAGAATTATTGCTTGAACAGCCACCAGCTGCGGCGGGGTGGCAATCGAAGTGAAATGAGACAATGCGAATTGCGAGAGGCAGATAACACCATGAGAAGAAGCTGTCGATGTGACAGTTAGATAAGAGCACGGAAATCGCCTAGGCTGCTCTCACGTTGACAAAAACACAAGAATGGGAGAGATGAGAGCGAGCACTCAAGAGCAAAGCTAACTACAGTTTCGTATATATCAGAGCCAGAAGCAAGGTGCATTAATTTAGGATGAACCCTAGGTGTATTTGTAAATTTTGTTTTGTAAATAGGAAAAACTTTAAGAAACCTCCTAGATTGTGTTGCTTTTTTACCAATTGAATTTGCTAACAGGAAAATTATGCTCAGCAATGTCCCACCTCATATTCATACCCTTTGGGAAGACGCTACCAATCTCTGAAAATGCAAAACAAAGCACGAGATAAGGTCACATCCAAACCCGAACCTCGCACAAAAATAAAGTTTATTCCTCAGAATCAGTCACTCACACCCCGATATGTGCGTCACGGGCAATTGAAGGTATGGATTGTGTGATTGTATGGATTGTATGATTAGACAACTGTTACACGGTATGTTTTATCCTGATGTAATACATTTCCCCGAAGCGGAAACGCACGCTTATTGGCGTTAAAATAGCAATGCAACTTAGCTACGAAAAAAACTAAAATATGTGACTAACTCTAATTTGATCTAGAAAACGAAAAAATTATGATGAAACGATAACTGACGCATTTAAGTTGGACAGTGTAATTCCCTGCTTTTAAAACAGACTCTAGTCCAGTCCATGAAGCAGGTCGACATAAGCAAGGAAAACACGAAAGGATGGGTAGGTCTTAGACCGAAGCTTTTAATACCCTGTCGGATCGATCTTTGAGTTGGTGGCTGTGGGATATGGTGATCAATACTTGGCAGTGCATTGGCACATACAGTGGTATAAGATCTCTTTAAATAACTATATCCCCTGCAAGAGTATAAAAGACAAAAGACAACCGACAAAAAATAGAAACAACAAAGCTACATACATACATATGTACGTACATATGTATGTAGATAAAAGATATGGACGTGTGGATGAGATGAGAGGAGTAAACCATTAGAGGCAGATAGGAGACAGAAAACCAGTGACAAAGGGGAGAGGCAAAATCAAATAGTGACTGTTAAAAAATTCCATTTAGATGACACTTTCCGAAGGTGAAAAGCACAAACAAACATGAAATTAAGTTGCGGAACAGTAAACACGGAAAGAAGCAGATGGGTTTTCACCGGAATAAGTGACAAAAATTAAATTTAATTGTTGTTATTTCTACATTTGCTTGTTAGGCGCCATTATGATTGCACTCTCACACACATTTGTACATTTGCCTTTTCTAGCACCTCTCTTTGCAGTCGCTTTCTTTGACCACTCACGCAGCGAACTCTCTCTCCCGCTCTGACCTACGAAGCAGAGTTGGGGGCCGCTGCCACCACTCGATTCTAACCTCAAAAACGGGTCTATGCACAGGTATGTTGTTGTCTTTTGCTTTCTTTTGGCTTTTTTTCTTTTGATTTATTCAACACTTTTCTGGCTGCGTGTCCCTCTCTATCGCTCTCTCTCTCTCCCACATACATAGTTGGCTTCTTGTTCAACAAAAGTACCGTTTGACGCTGCGTTTAATACGAGTTCTATTTTCTGAGCCCGACAGCCAGGTGAGCAAGCGAGATAGCCGCAATGTCTATGCACGGGTACGTTGTTTGTGTATTCTGTCTGCATGGGTGGGTGGAGGCGGCAACGAGTGTACATATGCAAGTGTGCGTGACATAGACCCGAAAAGCAGGAAACAGCTGATCGAATGTTTTATTTTTGGAATATATTTATATACAGTATGGAAGAGAATATTCTTTCTTCATATGTTTCCCACAAACGACTGCACTTATTGGGTTTATTTAAAAACTGTTCAGAGGCTAATTGGAGGTAGGGGCTTGCAAATCTATCTAGCATTTTTAACATTTTAAGAATTTTAATTATTACAGAGTGTACACGGTAACTATTGGTCGTATGCTCTCTTTCACAAAAACAGCTGCACGTTGCGTTGGCGGGTGCCGAAAAAGCTTCCGCCTGTCCACCACCACAGAAACCCAAGAACAAAGAGGAACCAGAGAGGCAAAAAGAGTGGCGGAGGAGGGGGGGGACGGAACAGAACAGTTGTTTAAACAAAAAGACAGCGGGGCGCCATAAAAAACGCAAACAAAATTGCAATGTATTGCTTTTAAAACATTGTTCTATGACTGTTGTTTTAAGTAATTAATTTTATGAGTCGCCGACGTCGGCGTCGCAGTCAATGGCCTCGCTGAAGCTCGAGGACGAGCCGCAAAACTAACGGCAAAACAAATGCACTGACAAACAACGAAACGGCTATAAAAAGGAGGGAGGGAATTGTACAGGGGTTATTGGCGCCTACCTTGGCTGTCCCGTCCGTCCCGCTTCTACTAGCACTTGCACTTCCACTGCTGCTGCTGCTGCTGCCTCCTCTGCTGGCGTCCGTGTGTGCTGCACTCTCTGCTTCTTCTCCTTCTTTACTTTCGCTCAATTCGACTGAAAACATAGAATTGTTTTTTCAAATCGTTTAATTGGATTGATTCGCAGTTTCTTTGTTTTTTTACACAAGACTTGTTTTTGGACTGGCGCCCCGCGCTCCACCTCATCCACAAAGGAACACTCATGCACAGGCACACAAACACACTCACATTTTTGGGGCCACACGCAAGCGCAACATATTTACGCAATGGTGCTAATAATTATAATGCATTTCTGCATTTGTTAAAGCCATTTGTCTGAGCAATGGTTAATCATGCGATAAAATAACTATTATTGATATTTCTCTTTGTTTTCACGTTGACAGGGGCGGAACAAACACACACACGCACGCGGAGCGGAGCGGAAAAACATAAATTAACGCAAAAGCAAAGACACAATTAAGTGCATTAAACGTTAATAAAATAATGTCGACAACGGAACTGCGGCGACGACGACGACGACGAAAAAAAACCTAAAACTTATGTGAGAGTCGTTTGCCCTGGCACACACACATACGGCATACAGGCATACGGCAGCTCATTCTTCCAACAGGGGTTGTCTCGCTTCCTCCTATGTGGTTTTTACCGGGAGCACGTTGACTGTTTCAGCATTTTCACACCAACACAACGAGACACACACCAACACACGCAACTGGCCATACGACACACAAAAGGAGCCTGCTGCTGGCCGAGAAATCTCTTATGGGCACCTTTTTCACTCGCATTTAACACTGCAGTCTCGGTCGCACTCAATTTTGGGTACTACTTGGACGAAACACTTACGTTTTGCAGCAGTAGCGCGCTTTTCTTTTACACTTTTCTATACAATTTTTCGATTTTACAAATCTTTAAACGCCATCTTGATCAGTGTGACCGTGGATCCGTGTGACCGCGGAATTATCGATAAATATACCGTCAGACCCTCAAAAATATACCAAGATAATTTAACAATATGCAGTAAAATACCGTTGTCTTAAATCATATTCCTCGATGTTGATGTTCTATTTGATATTACTAGATTGTAAATACTTTACACAATGAAACAATAATTTAATTCGATTGAAAAATAAATTTTTATTGGATTATATACCTTGTGAGCGTATATTTTACAAATTTGTATTTGAATTTTTCATTTGATGGTCAGGGAAATTCTCTCCTGTGCGTAAACTGTCAGGGAAATTCTTTGATCTAAGAAAACTATCGATATATTTACCACTCTCCGATTTTTTTCTGCTTTGAGCACAGAAATACGAGCCATTAATTGCAATAATTTCTTAAATATTATAAAACATGACTCTCCTTTACAATAACACTTTAAATTTCTTTTTGATTCGTTTGGAAGAGCCATATTTTTTCAGGATCACCGTAATTTTGCTACTGCCTAGACAGGTTTTTGTGTCTGGTAGAGCTGTATAGAGGTGACAGATAACTATCGATATTTTGATCAATATATGTGAACATTTTTGTTCGAAAGTCAGAGTAACGTTTCATGTAACTTATAACAGATGGCGTTGTATGGCGCAGTATTAAATTTATTTAAAAATAATTTTGTGGTTATGATCCTATATATTCGTAAAACGTCTGTAGAGACTTTAACTGCCAAGGCAGCCATTTTTACAGACTCGCCCCACCCACCCCTTCCACAACTCTCTACAACCTGAATAGCCCGTTCAAATGTAATATTTTCCCACAAATTTCACAAAAAAAGGAGGGGGCGGCTGGTTGCAGATGCCAATTTGAAAATTCCAGAGTTACAGCGGTAACCAAATACCTGCGCCAGTGAGTGCCGGAATGCTTTTTTATTGCTGTCGTTTCCATAAAGCGAAACACGTGTGAATTCCATTAGACTGTGCCCCGTCACTCCGCTAACCCTATCCACCCCTCACCAAACCAACCAATGAATTCGAAACCCAAGAAAATGTGACATAAAAAATGGGAGAGCAAAAGCAATGGGCAAAATGATAGATACAAATACTCATTCGCGGAGGCGGAGGAGGTGGTTGGAGGGTTTCTGGAATTGATGGGGGGGTAGATAAGCAATCGCTCAAAATTGATAAGGCCATTTTCGTTGGTGTGAAGGGAAATAGAGTTGAAGTTATTGAAGCTAAAAACAAATCAAAAATCCATCATAGGTCAAAATTATTACACACTGCGCTACTTACATTATTTTTTAAATCGATTTTTGTTAATTGCATTTAAGATCACTGGAGCCCAGAAGCCACGCCTTGTTCGGAGACGCCGATTGGCTGGTAACGGGGAATGAAAAACAAAACAAATCCACGAAGAAGTTAAAGCAACAACAGTATCTCTCACACACACACAATCCCATGCATTAATAGTACCAGAGATCGTCGGCGAATGGGGAATCGTCGTCAGCACGAACCTGAAACCGAACGGCAATTAAGGTGTGAATTACAAAAACAAAGCGAAGAGAGTGACAGGCAGCGAGAAAGAGAGAGAGAGAGAGGCAGGCGGCATTTGTATGAAAATGATCTCAGTCAGAGAGGGGTGGCAATACACAGTGAGAAAAAGTGAACAAAACGATCTTGGTATAAAAACTTCCATATGTTATGTTAAGTTAAGATGCCTTTATCTCTGGCCACTCTTTTCTCTCAGTGTTTTTATATTACTTTTGCACATTTCCTCCCTCTCCTCCTCCTCGTTGTTTCCTTTTGTTGTTTATAAAATATTTCCGCAACACAAACACATGTCGCACGGCTGTCTTTCACATACTTCCTCTTCTTCTTTGCCTTCTTCCTCTCTCCCACTTCCAAAGTTCTTCATCTAACGGAACAGCCTACGAATGCGCCATTTGGCTTCGTTTAGCGCTGTCTCTGCTGCTGCGCTTTCCTCTGCTGGCGTCGCTGTCACTGTCCCCCGTCGGCGGCGGCTCAGATCAAATAATGCGATTTAATGCCATGTCGCAAATTGTCAAGCATCCGCTGCTGATGCCCCTACTCCACCTTCCAGCACCCTGGCCAGGGAATGCATTTGCTCCAATTTGATTATGAAATCCCTTCAAAAAGTGACAACAAAAAAAAAAACTAAAATATGTTTGCTTTGAATATTTTTTAATTAATTCAAAATATTTTTTGCACACTTTTTCAGTTCCCGCTCTAAGCATTTTTCGTTTATCAACAAGTGGATTTTCGCCGTTTGAAGTGTGCCGCCTGAAGGGAGGGGGAATTGTTAGAGGCTGGAACCATTAAATTTTTCTAGACGCGAATCAATTTTCCAGTTGCGCTGCAGTTCACCGAACTGAGAGGCCGACGTCGCCGCTGACAAAAATGATGAGATGGGGCATCCAATTCGTGCGTGATTTGACTTCACTAGTAATTTCCCCTATTTATAATCTAAGATGCCAAGATCTATGATGCTTAGCTTTAAGATCACGCCGATTGTTCATCTCTAGCTCAAGCCGCTGTTTTTTTTATAGAGTACTATATAATTTTCATTTTGATGTCTTTTATGACACTTCCAAAAACGGACGCTGCTTTGACGTCAGTTTGAAGTTAGTTTTGGTTTTGATTTCCTTTCCTCATATTCCTTTGGCTCGTAATAATTTCGGCTGTTAATCTCTGGGAGCGAGGAGAGAGAGGGAGAGTATCTGACATGGTCTAGGTATTTATGATTCCGTTTATGCATTTTTCTCTTTTATTGCTTAATTTTTTGTTACTTCGATTTGTTTCGATCTCTTCGCATCGAAGCTATCGGCGGCGTTTGAAAAAAAGTTAATTGAGTTGTAAAAATTATAAAGTTGTAAAAATCCCCCCTCAACAAAAATATCTGCCGGGTAAAAGTTATTTGATAGATGCAGATACAGATATACTTACCATAATTTCCAGCTGAAACCAGCTGGTAAACAAAAGCGTAACAAAAATACACTTCTTCGAGGTTTTACGATCGTGAAATGAATAGGCTCTCGTCTCTCGTCTTTCCTTTGAAGGGGTGAGGCACGTTTTTCCCATATGCCTTGGTTTTTTGAATACATTTCGAACGTAAACCGGAGCAAAGTGGATTTGAGCAGATCACCTCATCCCGATCATTCATTAAATATTGTTCTTACAAAACTTCTTAACTTCTTTCCAACAGTTTTCAAGTTTAAGCTACTTCAACAATAAAAATAAAGCGAAATCTGATTACAGGTTTCATTTTTGTATCAAATCTCGCACTTAAGGTCTCCTCGGAATTTATCTTTTGCATTATCAAATACCATTCCCCGTATTTAGATAGAAATATTCTAGCAATGAAGTCTTATCAAATTATTTAACTAGCATTTCCCACAAAAGTAACCCCTGGGAACCAATCGATCTTCAACCCATTATTAAGATATTCCCTTAACTTGTGTTAACCCTTAAATCCTTAATGATCCTATCGACTCCTCATTAGCAATCGTTATTCACTCAACCCTTCTGGCCATTCAAGTTTGTTCCATATCCCAACCCCCGAAAAATACAGCTGCAACAAGTGGCAGGCAGGTCTCTAACGATCCCGAGAGTGGGTCCCAGACTGTGCACCCTCGACCCGATGTCGAGGTGTCATAAATCCACATGTGGCTGTAAAGTGTTACTAATTTCTGTTTCTGTTTCCATTTCGATTTAGGTGTCTCGGCTCTGCGCTGTGCGACAGTCGTTAACCGATCCCCCTCAGTCCCAGAACGTCCCAGTTCCATCCCCATCCAGATACCCATCCCCACGATCTTCGATCCCGCTCCGGGGCCACCTAATTTCACATGAACATGTTAATGTTTACACGCGTACCGCGATTTTTATGTTCGCCCCCGCCGCGTATCATCAGCGGCAGTCCAGTCCCTCGCTGTCCCCTCCCCGCCACCCATTTAACGATCCAACCAACCACCGTCTTTAGCTTATCTGAGCGATCCGATGGCATTTGCCGAGCCCGTCTTGGGGGCCGCCACCACCGCCACTCGGGCCGAGCTCCAGACCCCAAAGATCAGTCGCAGTTTGCTCGTCAGCCGCGGTGCCTCGTCGTGTCTCGTACTAAAGTATCGTCTCGTATCGTCTTGCCTCGTTCCGATCTGTACCGAGAGTCTCAAGATCTGTGTGGGTGAAAGAGCAAAAAAACAGCGAAAGATCGGGAGTGTGTTTATGAGTTTATGTCGCCACTTGCCGTCGGAGGTTGAATCTGGGATCTGAAGTATTTTGTTTCGAGGCGAAGATGAGCGAAAGTCCGGACTCGAATGGCGCCAAGGATCGGGCCAAGCCCGTGGAGACCCTGGTTCTGGCCAATTATGCGTTGAAAGCTGAGCAGAAGCGTGCCGCCGGACAGGGCGGCCGCAAGGAAGATGAGCGCATCACCAGCGCTGTTATGAAGGTCCTCGAGGGCTACGATTGGAATCTGGTACAGGCCTCAGCCAAGTAAGTGATTGAAAAAACAAAGGACAATTCTGATATACATAGATGGA